AGCAGGTGCACTTTTCTAAAAATCTGGCTTTAAGGATGTGGAAGGTGAACTTTTGACACTGCTCGGTGATTCATTTCCCCGGTTTCCAAAGCTGAATGGTTTCCTCCTGTGCGCCCAGCGCCCTCACGTCTCCTTGGTTCCCTTTCAGAGCAGTGCCCGCTTCGCGCTCCCCTTCTCCACGGAGCTTACAGAGCGGGGCTCACTAGGGCACCGATTTAATGAAATACAATTTTCAACCGTGTTTGGTTTGATTCCAGGTGATACAAATAAAGAATTGTGATCACTTTGTAGTCTGGCTTAAAGGGAAGAGAAAAGGTGGAAAGAAGAAAGTGAGTCAAGGATAGTCCTGGGCCAGGTCCCTTCAAGTGCCGCCTAGGGAAGGCTGAGCTGTGAAAGGTGGAGAAATAATGGGGCAGCCACAGATCATCCTTTGGCCCCTGTGTGTCCCGAAATGTGGGGTTTGGCAGTTTATAACGATCACAAGTTACGGGATTCTTCCACGTGTCAGGCACTGCTCTAATCTATACTAATAAAAGGGTAATATGCAAATTGGTCAGGACGCCCTCACGCAACGACTGAACAGCAGGTGGAGCCAGTGGTCCCGGATTGTGAGAGGGATCCAACTGCCATCTCCCGAGGGGTCCCGGATTGAAGAGGGTGCAGGCTGGGTTGAGGGGACCCGGCCCCCCCCCCCCCCCACGAATTTCATGCACTGGGCCTCTAGTGAATAGATAATGCATATTCACATGATATGAATGTATTCAATGTATTCTCTCCAAACCCTTGGAGCTACATACTATTACATCTAAAAAAACAGAAGCAAAGGGAGGCTCATTGACTTCGACAATGAGGAGCAGAACTGGGAGCTGAGCTGAGGAGGAGGGTTGGCCCGGCTCCTGGCCACTGTGCTCACCTGCCTCTGTTCCAGGGCTCAGTAACCAACTCTCATGATTTCATGTGGTTTTAAAAGACCATTTCCCCCCTTAATTCGAACCAACAAACCATACAGTTGGAAGGGTAAATATTTGTCATGCTGGGTGACGGACATGGATGGGCTAAGAAAAAAATAATACAAGTCGCAGGAAAAACCATGTACTTTCCTTTCTGTATCCCTCCATCTGTATTTACTGTGCGAAAGGTCACTTGAGTACAAGAGCTCAAATTTCGTGCTTTTAAGCAGCTTCCCTGTGGCTAAAACCCCTGCTCTTCAAATTGACTCGAAACCTATTTTGTAACCATGTGTACCTCTCTCTAATGTGAGCGCTCTGAAGTCATTAGTTACAGACTCCTTAAATAGGACTTTGTGACTGTGTTTCACAGAAATGCCAGGAATCGCCAAGTGATTTTTTGCTTTACTCTCAAATTGTAGCCCTTTCTCGTGACCGTCCGTCCACTCACATTTACTGGAAGGAGCAGTGGTTCTGGGAGACCTGGGCTGTTTGCCTGGCCAGGCAGCTACCTGGGCACAGTTTGTGGTGGGAGAGAAGAGGAGGGAGGAGGCTGAGAGGGCTGAAATGGTAAATTGCTGTAGGTTCTGGAGAAAAATAGATTAGAAGCATTTGTGGTTCAGATGAAAATAGCACATTTCCTGTCTGCTTGGACTGTGGGGGTCAGAGGGCTCCAGGGGATAGAACACAAATAAAAATTGATCCCTCCCCAGTCGAAGGAAGTGCTCTGACTCTGGGAACGGCAGTGACAGCCCCAGATTTGGGGATCTTGTGAAACCACTTTTGAAGGTTAAAAAAAGCAGCAACAACCACCAAAACACCAGGAGATCAGAGAAAGTGTGGCATGCTGTGTTCAGGAATGCAGTCTTTCAGGGATGATGTGCACTGCCCTTTTCCAAGACGGGCACCCAGATAGCCAAGTCTGAGCATGTGTGTGGCCACCTTGTTCCTGCCACTGACCATGGTCATTCCCTCTCTTCTTGCAGGTGAGAAGCCTTACAAGTGCTCATGGGAAGGGTGTGAGTGGCGTTTTGCACGAAGCGATGAGCTCACGAGGCACTACAGGAAACACACAGGTGCAAAGCCCTTTAAATGCAACCACTGCGACAGGTAAAGAAACGTTGAAGCTTCTGGATGGGGGAGGGGGCAGAAGATGGGGGGTTGGGGGGGACTGTCTAGTGCTCTTGGATTCATCACAAGCTTCAATCTTCTCTCTCAAAGTCTTGGATCTGGGGGTGCCTTTTACTTCTTCACCGAGAAAACCATTGAGAAAGGGGTGCCTTCTTGCCTGTAGTCAAAAGATAATGTGAATTCTTGGTTCCGTTAGATGAGCATTTACCTGAACGTCAGCTTTGGGCCCGGGACCGTGTTAGTCACTAGATATCAATAAGACACGACTCCTACCCCTGAGGAAATGAGGAGACAGATCATTTTAGTATAATGTGAAGAGTAATAGGATAGAGAATGGTTACCTGTAGCTGATTCTTCTGATTTTTTTATTAACATCAATACCATTTTCCCTCATCCTTTAAAACGCGAAAGAGCAGAAAGCCTGCTTAACGGAAGGACGGTGAGGTATAAGGCCTTCCTCTGAAGTATTATTAGACATGAGTTTACTGAAGACAGTTCCCACTCTTTGGGGGCCTGTACCATTCTTTCTCCTTTGAAAATAGGCACAAAGGGCTAAACGACAGAGAGGCTTTGAGAATTTATCCTGTAATTCCATCTCAAACCTCCAGCGTTTGATAGTGGAAGAAAGAGCACGTAGCGGCAGAAAACTACAAGAGTAATAGTATGTGACAGCCTTGGCATTATCAACCAATAAACCCCCAAATGGACACTCTGCAGGCCAAGGTGAAGGCAGGATTAGGTTGAGACATAATCAAATAATGGGCTTGCATCTGAGCGTGTTATCCTTCTAATCCTATTTCTGGGTTTAGAAGGAAGCTTAAGAAAATTAACCATCTTTTTAATGCAATCCTAAAGGTCTCGGTTATGATGAGAAAAATGCTTCTAATACGATAAAAGCCCTGAGAGCCTCAGGGTTCCCGGCTCGGCCAGCCACTCACAGGGTGGCAGGAGGGGCCGCAGGATGTCCAGGGAGGCCTGGCTCTCCTCGGGAGGAAACGTGATGGTTTCCTGCCTCCCGGGCCCGGTGCCGGCCCCTCCCCTCCCAGGCCTTCCTCTGGAGCAGCGTGTGTTTGTTTGGAGACCGGGTCAGGGGTGGCCGCGTCTCCCAGGTGGCCAGTTGGCTTGGTGCTCCTTTAAGATGCTTATAAAGGAGCATTCATATTTTTTCCTCCTTTTTTTTTTCCTTCTTCCTGAAGAGGCTATTTTCCTCTTATCTTCATTCTTCAAGAACTAAATAAAGCCCCTATGCCTTCTGGAGCCCAGAGATAACCTCCCCACCGGGCCTGAGGAAGTCCACTTCTTGACGCTATTGTCCCTCGTTTCTTTGGAGCTTTCTCCTGCTACCCAAGAACACAACCTGTTTTTCCATTTCTATCCCATCACTTAGAAGTCCCAGCCACTCTTCTAAGTATCTATAGTTAGTCGTGTTTCTCCTTGTTTGACAACTGCCCCCAATTCCCACCTCAAGTTTATTTCTCTCTAGCCCTGGCCATTGATAAAGAAGCTGCATAGATGGGGATTCTTTGTCCACAGTCCCTTGAAGAAGAGCATTACATTCATTCAGTGAGCTGTCAGATATGGTATAGGAGGCGCACGTGCACACACACACACACACACACACACACGCGCACACACACACCCCACTCCCATCCCTGAAGGGTGGCGAGGCTGCTCCCGGTCCTTGACGATTGAGATTGCACATTATGGATTGCCATCATCCTTGAAAATGGGCAGAGAGTGTTTCTGTCTTCAAGTCAACTGGCTTACTGTGAAATTTACAACTGTGTAGCCGTTGACATATCCAGATTAAATCTGATTGTGTGATTTATGTGAGAAATAATTCAGACCCCCTAGATATTTCAGGGAAGGATCTGTCAGAGATGGGCCGTCTCGTTGCTTTGTTTTCTTCATCAAAATATAAGATGGCTTCTGGAGCTAGAAATGTTCGAAGCAGATGGTGCACGCTCTGTGACATGGTATTTGGGAGAGACTGTGAACAGCCCAAAGTCCTGAGGCCCTGCCAGTCGCCCGCGCATTTTCAATGGTGTCGGAAATGAGGGGCTGGGCCCGAGTTGGTGTCTCAGGACAGGCAGCACCTTGCCTTTCCACCGCAGGGATTGTGCTAAGAATAGAGCAGGTCTGGGCGGTGGCATCGGGAAGTGGAGTGGTCCCAGAGCAGGTGAAAGGAAAGCCTGGGGTGACCGGGGAGTCTGTAGCCCTTCACAGGACATGGGGTCCTGTTGGCACCACGGTGTGTATGAGCATGAGAAACCTACTTCTTGCCTCTTCTACTTGGAGCAATCAGACTGCCTTACTTAGAAGCAAAGCTAGGACTGGTGTTTCCTTTCCTGAAAGCATGGACCATGTATACTTTGATGTATAAGCTAGAATAAAACAGACATGTGTTTGTTTGTTTTGCTAACATTTAAAATTGCTGGATGCCATTAAAAAATTTCTGTATTTCTGGCTTTATCTGGAATAATCAGACGATGTGCCCATAATATCCTGGAGACGAGTAGTAATCAGTACCCACTGGCACTGGCCATGTGATCACTAATTCCACCAAGTTCCCGCCACTCCCTGTGGTCTCCCAACAGGAAGGCAGATCAGACCGTCCGTTGACATGGATCATCTCCCCTGCTCTGTTGTCTGCTCTCACAGGAAGCAGTCTCCCTCGCCTTGTCCAAAGTGGAGTCAGATAGGGCTGTTTCTTACATTGGACCACAGCCCGCATTCACTTTACCTGCCTGACCCCCGAAGACGTTGGGTTTTGTGACCTCTGGCTTCAGGTTTGGGTTGGGGGAGGAAGCAAGAGGGCAGCTCTGCCATTTCCTTACCATTGGACTGAGCCATGCAGCCCACTGAGTGCCCAGCTGCTAGCCCAGTGATGGCGAACCTTTTGAGCTCGGCGTGTCAGCATTTTGAAAAACCCCAACTTAACTCTGGTGCCGTGTCACCTATAGAAATTTTTTGATATTTGCTACCATAGTAAAACAAAGACTTATATTTTTGATATTTATTTTATATATTTAAATACCATTTAACAAAGAAAAATCGACCAAAAAAAAAATGAGTTCGCGTGTCACCTCTGACAGACGTGTCATAGGTTCGCCATCACTGTGCTGGAGGATGGATCTTGTCTCTCAGCCCATAGCATTCGGCTGCCGATGGCGGTGAAAGTTCTCTGCTTCCGCGAGTCACTATAGGCAGGCCATGCTGACTCAGCACAGACATAACCCAGGGAGACTGCCCCAGGGTAGCATCTCCAAGATCTCGGGCAGTGGAGAGGAGGCATTTTGATTGTTGAATCAGCCCACTTATCGGTGGTAAGAAATTATCAGCCCATATCTCGCTCTTTGGTGCCCTAGAGGGTTGCTGTTGGCTTACTGCTCACCTGCCCATCGTGTGCCTTTTTCACGAGCAAGAGAAACGACCATAGGGGTTCAACTGGTTCTCTGTAATAAACAAATTTCAGTCCTTCAGGACCTTCTTATTTAAGGTCATCTGCCTGCAATATACTCGGAAATACTCTCTGGAGTTCTATTACCCTTAGAGTTATTTGATTCTGCATTTCTCGATGCTGAGTTTATCTGTTACCTTTTACTGTTCCTATGAGGAGTAGGTATAAGTTAACAAATATAAATTAATCACAAGTAAGTAGCTTGCTGGTATATTGCATTTAAATAAAACCTCAATGGTGAGGAACCTAGTCTAATGCTAAGTATCATGTGCTTCTTAGAATTTGAGCAAATAATGATGCTAGTTTGATTCTGGTGGGGTGCAATTACATTTCATATTATGTTAAAGATCTGTTGTTTTTTCCCCGCTTTTTTTCCTGAAAGAAATGGAAGGCTTTTACATATATTGCTAGATACCTAGCACAGAGTAGGCAATTGGTAAAGGCAGAATAAAAGTCCAGAACATCATATGCATTACTGAACAGTTACTTCAAATGAAGTGGTGTATCAATAATACTATTTTCCTCCAAGTTCCCAGAATATAGGAAGGAAAGGAAAGAGGATTTGTCCACTGCCTAGTCCTCTCCTTCACTTCTTACCTTCTCAGATCCCCGTGTCTCCCTTTTAAACAGGCAGATTGCTTTGTCTCTGCTTTGTTTCTTTCTCACATGTTGTTTCCAAAACATTTGCATATTCATTTCTTCTTTAATGATGATGATTATGCCTGGCTGGCATGGCTCAGTGGTTGAGTGCTGACCTATGGACTAGGAGGCCACGGTTCAATTCCCAGTCAGGGCACATGCCTGGCTTGCAGGCTCGATCCCCAATGTGGGGTGGGCAGGAGGCAGCCAATCAATGATTCTTTCTCATCACTGATGTTTCTATCTCCCTTTCCCTTTCCCTTCCTCTCTGAAATACAAATATATTTTTAAAAAATTTTTAAATAATGACAGTTATGATAGTAAACATTCATTGAGATCTTACTACATGCCAGGCAATAGTTTAAGCACTTTACATAGATGGTCTCATTTAATTCTTAGAACCAAGCTATGAGGTGAGTGCCATAATGATCACCATTATACGGAGGAGTAATTAAGGCCCAGAGATGTTAAGGTGCTCAGAGTTACACAACTTTTGGGCGAGGTGGGATTTGAACCCAAGCAATCTGACCCATGAGCTCACCTTCCTAACACACTGCCTTTTCTAAGGGGTGATGGAAGTTGAGTTCCTTACCTAGACCTTTCTAATATCCTTGTTCTTGTTTATATTTCTTAGGTGTTTTTCCAGGTCGGACCATCTTGCCCTCCACATGAAGAGACATATCTAAAAAAAAACCCTAAAGGCCAGAGTTGCCACGACGTCGGCCGTTGTCTGAAGGAAACACCATGGGGCAGGGGGCTGGACTTCAGGCGGGGCCCCATCGCCTCGCAGAAGAAAGTTCTCACTTCTACACCTCTGTGTACACACACACACACAGTCACACACTTACACACACGCCGTCACGCACAGACCCCCCCACACACTCACTATCATGCACTCAGCTATATTTACAATATATACGGCTATTCTTCATGCCTTGCCCTAGCCAGACGATAGAAGAAAACGAAGAAGAAGGAGACCAGGTGAACTCAGCAAGGCAGACTGGCTGCTCACTGCAGCACTATTGGAATTATTTCCCACTGTGGCCAATGGAAATCAAAGCAAATGGACGTGACGTTTCTGCAGGTGGACAGCCGTAAGAGGGGCTTATCTCTAACTTGCTTCTCAGTGCAACTTGATAGGAGAACCAACGTCTTAAAGTTGCATATGTGTAGCACTGTTCCTTTTTAAATAGTTGGGGGAAAATGACCTAGACAACCAAATTGCAGTTTGGTAGCCAAAATTAACTCTTGGTTTATTTGTCCTTTGTGTGTGAAAAGTCCTACTATTCCGTGCGTCCGACTTCCTCAAAGAACTGTTGATCAGTTTGGGTTCTTCTTAGCACCACTGAGATCTTTCCAGTCGATACCAACGGCCTTAGCGGCGACAGACTCTGGAATACACCTTACACCTTTCTGGCCTGCATTTCTCTAGACTTCACTCTTAAGGGAGGAGTTTTCTTTTCTTACTTTTTGACTCTTGCACACCATATGCACTAGGGATTCTGGAAACTTCTAGCATGACTGCAAAAGTGGCCAAGAGAATAAAGTCCTTGATGATAAATCACAGTCTATCCCTTGAGCCTCACCTATTGCCAGTGCTAGATTTTTTTCTTTTTAATCTCTCTGTTTTTGCTAATGAAAACTTGAAAAGCTTATTTGGAAGCTTAAATGTTTTATCTTTTCTCCATGGACTAAACCTCACCAGGACTCTCTCTCTCAGCACCTGGATGTCCAGCTCTCAAAGCAGCCAATCAGATGGGACATCACAGTTCTCTCATCCCCTTGAGGCATCATGACCTCAGCTCGTAGTGGTCAACCCCGTGCTGTGTGTCATTGCTGCCCTGTATCCAGTTTCAGCATAGATGTTGCTAGTCTCAAAGGGCAGCTGCATATTGAACCTAACTCTGGGTTATGACCTGACAAAAAGCCAAAAATATCACTCTTTCCAGGAGTGGGGAAAGTGGAAGATGCCTCCCAAGTCTAGTGACTTCAGAAACATCATCTATCTTCCTCTCTCATGCCCACTGAGCTCATGTTACTCCACTTGTTAAAACACACAATTCAGAAATGCCGTTGTGGGAATGAAGGGTGGACATTTAAGGAAAGGGTTGAGATGTTTCTCTAACCGTCTATGTAAAAGGAGAGACATATTTCTAATTTATTTTCTGGCTAGGCCCTTCATGACTTGTGACCTAGAGCACCCAGGATCAACAGAGGCCTCACGCTTACTCTGCAAACTGACTCCGAAGGGGTTCCATTCCTTACTTTTCACCCCCACACATCCAATATCGGTCTCTATCAACCCGCATTCTTAGCTAGCTGGCACTGGCCTCAACTCCAAAGACTGCCTTTAGGACCATTACATGGCCTATGCAAGCAAGCGGGGTGGTTATTAGGACAGATTGTATATTTTGTATATTCTGGGACCATCCCTTCAAGACACGTCTAAAAAAACAAAAATGGCACTTGGTCCACACATGGTTGCTGCTCCTTCATACCAGCTGGCACCCCCCCTGCCCTCCTTTGACTGTTTGACTCGTTGACTGTTAAAATGCCACCCCATACCTATTTGGGATGCAAAACTGAAGTCTTTAAAAGGAAATAATATAAGAATCACAAATACATTTATGACAGCAACCTTCAAGATCCTTGGCATTTGGTTTCTCAGCTTTCTGCAACCTTTGGTTTCACTGAAATGTTGAATCTACTCATCTGAGGGTAAAGGAGTCTCCTTGTCACAGAGGTTGTAGCTGCCAATTGGACACATGGGGCATTCTGAGGTCTGGCCCTTAACCTTTACTTTCTCCTTTTCCTTTTTTCAATTTAGACCAAAAACAACCACAACAACAACAAAAAATAAATAAAAACCCACAACGAAATAATGACAATAAAAAAAACACCCTAAAACACACACACACAAAATCTGCCCATTTGCCAGAGGCAATTATGTATATGTTAGTTGAAGGGTATTTTTTAAAAAATCAGTTTTATTCCAAAGATTTAAAACTAGACATGACTTAGAAACAATTTCTGGAGCACTGCTTGCTGACAATCTCGTAGTTCTCTACTGCATTTGAGTGCATTTTGTGGCCAGTCCATCGGGGCGTGCCATGGGGTTATATTTGAATGTGTGGTGCATCCTTTCTGGATGAAGGATGGGGGGGAGGGGCCTTGAACCTCGGCTGTATTAAACTGTAGCGCCTCCAGTCAGTGTACTAGATGAAACTTTAGACACCCAGATTGTGTTGGTTCACTGGTCTCCCT